TGTATTTCTTGAGAATGAAATCCATGGTATTTGACTGTGGCAGTCTCGTAAAGGAAACACTGCCCTGTTTTGAGGAACTGCAGAATAAAGAAAGAGCATGCAGAGCTTGGAGAGGATGCTGGCATGCTGCACGGCCAGGAAAATGGACAGACTGATCTACCTGATCTCCATCTCTGAAACTGAGATCTCTAAAGCACTTTTATCATGAAGAGTAAGAAAGAAGCAGTTTGCAAAGACTCAAACAGATTTCTGCTTAAATGTCTCTGCAAATTAATACACTTTGTACAGAAAACCCCAGTCAAATGTAGTGTTTATTCTAAGCACTTTACTGCTTCAGAGTCATTAACCTAGTACCTTACATGCTCTCTTTGTAATGCAAATTTGCTAAAATACTATGCTTTCCATAAAACATTCATATAGACAAGCTCACACTGCTCAAATACCAATTGTAAGTGGAGCAAAAATACAGTAAATTTTTCTTAATACTTGGGCTCTGCACCTAAGTCTTATCTGCATAAGCAATTTGTGAGTAACCTTCTGCTGTTGCTGCAGTCACCGTAGCGCAAAGGTGGAAGACTTCCCGAAGCAGCTGATATAGGCAATTATAAAGTGAATTATCACATGCAAAAGCCAAATGAAAAGACTTTGTAGAAGGTACCTACAGCAGAGGTTTTTTCAAGGAAGAGAGATGATTAGAGGAGAGGAGATACCCTGCATTTAAGGAGGCCAAACATTGCACATACTGCACCTGCTTGCTGAGCTCCTATTTAATAGCCACCTGCCCGGCCATGTGCTGTATCACCATGAAGGTTTGCTGGAAATCCTCACCATGGTGCACCAGGCACGCTGTTCCCAACCGCTGCACTGACCGGACATAACACACCCACCCAACAACATGTGGAGCCCAGCAGGAGATACAAAATCATCCCGACTAAGATCTCCAGCCCAACCTGACCCAGCTGGTCCACACAGTGAAAGATGACTCAGGGTTGGAGAGGGCTGAGGGAAGGGAAAGGTTCCTGGTTTACAACTTACACAGCTGTGGAGAAGGAGCAAAATGTCACCTTAAGGGTACAATGTTATGAGACTCTCTCCCTTCTCCAATGGACTTAGATGCTGGAACATGAAATACCATAGCAAACTTATGGCCAGCTGAGATTCACAATATAAATTACACTAAACTAAATTCAAATACACAGGATAAATGCAGGAAATTTTATGATCTTTTCCTCCTCCCTCCACAGGTACCAACCCTCCACAGGTACCAACTACTTTTGTTTCAAGATGATCTATAATTGTGCTATCTCAAATTAAACTCTGAGCAACTGCTCTCATCCTATATTTAGTTTTGAAAACTGCCGCTTCTTTTTCAGACTTGAAGAAGGGCCCAGAATCCTGGAAGTTGTCTAATTTTTACAACTATACCAGTTGGCCTGATAGAAGAAGATACTACCTCCAGGTACAAACCTTTCCCAGATTTCATAGATGTAGAATCATAGAAACATAGAATCGCTTAGGTTGGAAAAGACGTTTAAGATCATTGAATCCAACCATTAACCTAACACTGACAAGTCCACCACTAAACCATGTCCCTTAGCACCACACCTACGTCTTTTAAATACCTCCAGGGATGGTGACTCAACCACTTTCCTGGGCAGCCTGTTCCAATGCTTGACTACACTTTCCATGAAAAAATTTTTCCTAATACCCAATCTAAACCTCCCCTGGTGCAACTTGAGGCCATTTCCTCTCATCCTATCACTTGTTACTTGGGACAAAAGACTAACACCCACCTCACTACAGCCTCCTTTTAGGTAGCTGTAGAGAGGGATAAGGTCTCTCTTCAGCCTCCTCTTCTCCAGGTTAAACAACCCCAGTTCCCTCAGCTGCTCCTCATAAGGCCTGTGCTCCAGACCCTTCACCAGTTTTGCTGCCCTTCTCTGGACACGCTCCAGCACCCCAATGTCCTTCTTGTACTGAGGGGCCCAAAACTGGTCACAGTATTCCAGGTGCGGCCTCACCAGTGCCGAGTACAGAGGCACAATCACCTCCCTGCTCCTGCTGGCCACACTATTCCTGATACAAGCCAGGATGCTGTTGGCCTTCTTGGCCACCTGGGCACACTGCGGGCTGTTGACCAACACCTCCAGGTCCTTTTTCACCGAGCAGCTTTCCAGTCACCCTCCCCCAGGCCTGTAGCATTGCATGGGGTTGTTGTGACCCAGTTGCAGGATCCAGCACTTGGCCTTGTTGAACATCATACAGTTGGCCTCGGCCCATCAATCCAGCCTGTCCAGATACTCTGGTAGAGCCTTGCTACCCTCAAGCAGATCAGCACTCCCGCCCAACTTGGTGTTGTCTGCACTGAGGGTGTACTCAATCCCCTCATCCAGATCATTGATAAAGATATTAAACAGAACTGGTCCCAGAACTGAGCCCTGGGGAATGCCACTTCTGACTGGCCTCCAACCGGATTTAACTCCATTCATCACAACTCTTTGGGCCTGGCCATCCAGCCAGTTTTTTACCCAGCGAAGAGTACGCCTGTCCAAGCCATGAGCAGCCAGTTTCTCCAGGAGAATGCTGTGGGAAACGGTGTCAAAGGCTTTACTAAAGTGCAGGTAGACAACATCCACAGCCTGTCCCTCATCCACTAAGCGGGTCACCTTGTCGTAGAAGATCAGGTTAGTCAAGCAGGACCTGCCTTTCATGAACCCATGCTGACTGGGCCTGATGACCTGGTTGTCCTGTACGTACTGTGTAATGGCAGTCAAGATAATCTGCTCCCCTGTACGTACTGTGTAATGGCAGTCAAGATAATCTGCTCCATAACCTTCCCCGGCACCGAGGTCAGAGCTAGGAGGCAGAACTCATTTCCCAGAGCTATGAGGCAGAGCTCAAGACACCATTGCCTGAGGTGACAGAAACATCTACACTGGTTTTCACTGGGCTTCCAAGCTAAGATGCACAGGTGACCAACGGGAGGCAACTTAACAAGAAGTTTTTTTTATTCTGCGTAATGACATGCCAACTGCAAGCCAGGTGTACCTCCCAGCCTGTCTGCCAGACCTGGTTCCTGATCATCCAAAACACATCAAGGCTCCATTACGGCTCCTGAACCCAGATGACTTCCCAAAGGAAACCAGGTCCTCCAGGGGATGATGCACACGCACACTGTGATGCACCCACACCACGCAGGCACCACGTGGCAAGGGCTTGGAGACTGGGAACTGCACCCCAGCACGACTACCCCGCAGCACAGACACAGACAAAGTGAATCTGAGTTAGCATGAAACTTTTAAATTATTAAAATAAATTAGCAGAGTCACTGAAAAAAAAAAAAAAAAAAAGTTTGGGGCAGGATCTACAATCAAAATACAACCAAAACAGTAATTCAGCATATGAGCTTCACAGCACATTAAGAAAATAAGTACCTCTTCAAACACCTGCAATGATTTCTCAGATGCATTAAAAGAGAATGAAAATTAAAAGAAAATGAACATACTGAAACTTACTCAGTTTTGAAATTCAGTTCATTTGGCACGTCCTCCACTTTTGAAAGAAAACAAACAGCAAACGCAGACAAGCCATAGCTTGAGCAGCCATGCACTCTCCTGCCCACCTGCCTGAAGCCCGACTCAAAGCAACATACCTGGCTATACCAGCTTAGTTTCGTCTTTAAACTCAGTCCTCAGCCTGTCCATTAAAGCGGTCAATAGCAATGCCAGCTCAGAAACATCCATCACTGCAAAATCATTTTTACAGGTCATTGGCTAGCCAGACAACAATAGCTTCTAGCCATTACTGACCTCTCTTCGACATGAACCGCTGATTTCCAGGAGAAAGACGAGCCAGGAGCCATCCATTTTCTTAATCATAATTAAAACAAAACCAAAACCACCCAACTGTTTCTATACTATTTCATTTGTACAAAATATAAACGTGCAATCATCCTGCTACATTTCCAGGATGTGAACACTAACATAATAAGAATGTGACTGCATTCAGTTCATCTATTGAGGCAGGCAGTACCTTATTTTAAGTAGGTGCTGTTGAACAGAAATTAGCATCAGAACAGTTCGGGTAACAAAATGTTCTGCTGCATCAACCCCCAAGTAAGCTGACAGAACAGATTCTGACAGGTGTGTCTTACAATGGAAAAATTAAGTGTGATAAAGAAAGGAATAAAATGCCCTTTAGATATGTTGTGTTCTCAGAGTCATCAAGATGCAAAAGGAATTTTAAAAAATGCCATCTCCATAAAGCTTAAGTACACATAAGAAAAAGCAAACAAACCTGCCTGGACGACTAGCTGTTTGCAGTACTGTCTGCCTTAATGGCTCTGGCAAATTGGCTTCCTTAGTTGATCAGTCCTGCTCCCACTGTACTACACAGAGCTATATGACCCAGACAGATCTGGGAGTGTTAAGAAAAGTGGAGCAAAACCACCAAAACACACAAGTCGGTATCAAAGAAAAAAGCATACAACCGGTTATTTCCTCTTACAGACATATAAAATATTTGCCATTTGCAGATTCTCAATCAGAGAGACAGACTGCATCATGTTTGACTTCAGCAAAATGTCTCCTGAGAAAGTCTGTCTTGATCTAAAATTCTCATGCTTGGGTTTTAATTCACAGTCATATTTACCAGAATACACTTCCTCCAATTTCCTAATTGAGACTGCATGGCTTGAAATATGCCCATCAGCTATCATATGACTGGAAATCTACTTGACTAAGAGATACACATTCTCAGGCTTCAGAAAATAATTAGGCACTCCAGATTTTCCTGCAGCTTCCTGAGGAGCAGATGCCAATGACCAATATCAACAACCAAGACTACTGATCTCATCCAGCCTCACAGCTCCTGTACCTCAATGTTACAGTGACGGAATTGCTACCACAGTAACCATCAAGATACATGGAAATTACACAACAAACCTGCAACTGGCTGCACATGTCCAGTCTCCACTCTGAGCTGAATTATCTCCTACTCACCAGGCTCTTGGTCCTTAGTGGATATGCACTCTTTTATGGACTCTGTTATGCCAAGACTAGCTGCAGTGGGGAGCGGGCCAAGCAAGGATTCCAGTGCAGGTGGTCTTACAAGAGCTTCATTTCCATTTTTGCATTCCCCATCTTCATTTTTTTTTATTCTATCCTTCTCATGAAGTTCATTATAAAAGTCCTTGTTTAAGTGATTAGCAGCTGCTTCCAGTTCCTCATCTTCTGCCTCCTCCTCTCCAAGTATGCTAGAGGTATTATCTTCTATTGAATCTGTAAGGGAAAAAACCCACCCCAACAGATCATTGCATACCATCTGTTACAGAAATGAAATAAATAGAGAGGCACTCACTTAAAGAATAAAAATCTTTAGAGAAAATCTGTAGAAGAAATACACAACATTTCAGTACAATGTATGAATACATGGAGTTTCCAGATGCTCTTCAAATTCATTACCTTGGCTATTAAAATGTATTTTTGTGAATACAGTCATCATTTAAAACAGAAGTATTGTGTTATCAAATTATGGCAGGCAAAAGGGCTTTGCAAGAGAAGCCGGCTACCTACTGCTATAATTACAAATGAAAAATAGCCCGTTCAACCTGCACAAAACCCTTCCTTATCGCTTCGTCAACTGGGGGATTCAGTGAAAGAAGGGTCTAGATATTGGTCCACTGCACTTTCAGTGATGAAAAGGAACATTCTCAGGTGTCAGTGCCAAGCTTATACTGCACCAGGAAAGAAAAACAACTGAAATCATTAATGAACTGTCATTGTAATGAACAATGTAGTTGTTCTGAAGACTGATATTTGAACCAAATAACTGGCAGACAGAACGCCAACGCAATAGAGATCTTGTACTACGCAAGCATATATATGATCGCATTTATCACAATAAAGTTCATATGCGTAAGACTGCCTGCAGGATCTGAACCCGTTATTATTTAAGTAGTCACAACTCTTTACAGACTTACCATCTTTAGTGAAATTTGCAAATACGCCTTTTGCTTTCGGTCTACTGTTTTCTAATTCAATCTCTATTTCATCTTGATAGCTCGATATTTCACCTGCGGTGTTGAAATAAAAGTAAAACTCAGCAATCATTGAGGTAATTTTGAACAAATGAGTGATATGTTACACCAAACACAACTCGTACCTTCAAAATCCTCCAGCTTTTTTGATAACGCCTTCTCAAGCTGAAATGAAAATAAACAAAATAAACGTGAAATTACTAAAAAAACCCAACTTTGTACTGTTTGCGAACTGTATATAGAGACACAGAGTAATAGGGTGTTTTAAAAGCAATAAGCAGGTTTTGAATCCCTACTCAAATTACTTTATATAGTGTCAGACAGGTAAGACAGACAAGTTTCAAAATACTGACTGATTTCAAATGTCCTCTCACCCATCTCTATACTTCAAAAGGAACCTTCACCCTGGCAAGCTGCAAATGAAAGGCCCCATTCTTCAGCAGTCAAGACTCTATGACTGTGCCTGCAGATGTGAGCAAGTGCAAGGGCAGGGCTGAAACTGCACTGCCCAGGCCAGACAGAGCACGCAGGCGATGGCAAAGTACAGACCTACAGCACCTGGCAGGCTCTTGAGAACATCACAGGTACACCTACGGACCTTTAAATGACAGCACATTTAGAACAGTAAAAACAAAAACCCTGAAAAACTAATAATGTAAGATTTGGCCGTGACAGCAGCAAAATCTTCTCCTCTGGTGCCAGCCTTAGTCCATGCTTTGTAAAGAAATTAAGCCATATGAGAACTAATCTCTGTGGAAGCAGGTGCTGTACCACACAAAAACCCAGCAGTCTCATTAAAGCAGTTTGGTTATTGTTTTCATACGTGTTTAAAAAAAAATTATACGTAATGGGACTTCTCCTGATCATGGGTATCACCTTTAAAAAAAGTGCACAGTTTCTGATCTAATTACAAAGCTTACACCTTTGCAACCCTGATCCTTGCTAACCAGGGTGGAATAGTGCATAGAGCCCATAAAAGAGAAATGCCGACATTAGGACAGCTACTCAAGACCTCCATGCCTCCAAGCTCAGCTTAATCTGTCACATGAGAGCCTCCAGTTTTGTAAGGACAAAAAGATTTGACGCTTTGGTGAAAGGTCAGGGCATAAGAAGGGGAACACACATGCAGCAGGAAAGCAAGCATAAAGGAGATAACAGTGCTTAGCATAACTGCATCAGCTTGCAAATGGGGGAGCATCTGGGCAGAGTGTGCTGGGCCCTCATCTACAATACAGCAGTCGTGGGCTAAGCACCAAACACTGGTATCCTGCAAAACATGGAAGCTCAGCTGGTGCTCGTTTACTCGGCCACCCAGACGTGCTGATCTGCACTAACAAGAGCAGTGACTGTACGTCCCGCAGCGACTGGCTAAGATGGCAGACATACTTCAACCCCTCATCAGAGGATGTTTAAAGCTGCATTTGAAGCTACGTATCTGAAAGAGCACATCTCGCTGGAGGAGGGAGCAACAATAATATAAGAGAAAAACTTCTTTTTTTTTTTAACTGGGAAGCTATCCCTTTGCCAGTAAAACAAAAAAATATCCTTTAGTAATGGGTACTGTATGCACTAATGCTCACCCTTCTCTTAAGAACCTCAGAATAAATGTAACTAACCCTTAGCAAAGGCTGGTCAGCTAGGACTTAGTATTAACTGATTCAAAAAGGAATACATGGAGGGAGGAGAGAGGAGAGAAATACAGAGAGCATCCGATTCAGAATTCACCTGCTGGATCTTCAATTTTTTTTGACCAGCTGTAAACGAAGGAGGATCACATTCTTCTTCTAAGTCAATCTTCATAAACTCATCTATGGTTAGCTGACTTGTTGGTGTATCTTCAAACTCTGACAACCTACCAAAGCATACAGTACATTACCATAACAACGTTAAGAACTTCTTTAAAAGTAACAAAATTTGTCAAACTGCTAAGTTACAGAATAAACATGTCATCCTTAGAAACTCTGGCTCCAATGCAGAATACATTAAAACTGAAGTGATACTAATTGTTTCATCTGCTGCAAAGAAAGTATCTTTTCATATTACAAATTAGTTTTTGATTTACTAGCGTATGTAACACACAATTTTTTTGATGAACGAAGACCAAACGCACACTTTTTTCGATGAACCACAGCCACTGCGGTCAATTAAGTATAGACTGACAAAACTGCGATGAGAAATGCAGCTCATTCCTCCTGTCTCGTTGCTTTTGTTATCAACAACAACAACAAAACAGATTCCCAAACTAAAATATCTGCCATCATACTTTAGGAGTACGCTCAAAAATGTTCCTGATATGTTAGCAAAATTAATTTATGCAAAATAAATGTTAAAGTAACATATCTTCAGCAGACTGGAAGAAGGACAAGAAGTAATCTTCGCAGGACACACAGAAGCAGTAGAAAAAGGGATCATTTACACATTGTACAGATGGAACAGACAAATGCATGTAATTTTACAACAACATACTTTGTATTTGTTTAATGTTCGCATTTTAAAAGTTCCTACCTATGTGAGAGATGGGACTAGCTCCATGGGCAACTGCCATGAAAGCAGCTGAATCTTTCAAAGGAACTGAATCTTAAATGAGACCACGCTGTCGTAACTTCACCCACAAATTTCAGCATTTTGTACAGGTGGTTGAGAATGAGCACATCCATTTTACAGATGGAGAAAGCGAGGCAAAAGGTTAAGTACAAAACCAGGTCAGGAAATGTCTGGCAGAATGCTTTTCTGACAGAAAGTGCCCTTTTAATAATATCAACATTTTCCATGGGAAAACAGCAATGATGGGTCTGCAGCTGCTTCACTGGAATATTCCCATCTTCCAGAGGAAGCAAAGCTGACAACAGCTTCCATCTGCAAAGCTAGGAAACTAAAAATGGTGATTCAGTACTTCCAGCACAGGATGCTTCAGCATTTCTCCCCCCCAAAATGTAGTCGTGGTTTTCTCTTTTACCTCTGATTGCAACAAAACTCCTTCCAAAGAAGGAATTTTCCCTAGGACAGAAACTCAGTTTCCAACCAACTCCAGGGTCAAAGCCAAGAGCACAGGGCCACACTCTCTCCCAATATCCTTATCAGTACCTGTATTTCTTTTTTTATAAACTGAGGTGCAAGACAAGACAGCCCATAAAAAGGGACGTAGGCATGCTGTAACTTCAGGACAGTCTGCCTGTAGGCACCCCGCTGCCGGAGCACAGTCCGCAGGCCACGCGCGGCATCTCGTGCCATGAAATGCGCAGGGAGAGCCGGGCAGCTCTGTGCAAAACCAACAGCAAGCAGCACGCTGAGCCCACGCACGGCTATGCCGGCCAGAGTCAGTGCTGCTGAGGAGAAGAAAGCTTCTGAAACCTAGTTCCACTTTGGGAGTTCAGGCATTTCTACGAAGTCCCAAATTAGCCATTTGAGAGTGACTGACAGCCCAAAAGTTTCCCTCAGAGTACCAGGGACCAGCTCCCTCCTCCTCTCTTTCAGATCAAATTGGAAAGGAGAGGAGGATGCTGTTGGCAGCAGCAGCACCCAGCTTTTAATTAACGGACTAGAAATCTTTCTCAGCGTTAACAGGCTTCCAGCATCCATTACCCACCTTCCAGGAGGGAGCCTCATCTATCAGGCTAGAGGAAAAACCTGGCTAGGCATTGTTGTTATTATTATTATTTTAATTCAGGATTCATTTAATGGCAAATCCATGCATCACTTCAGGAGCATGGATCTTCCCAGCCACCATCATTAAACTACAGTCACCCATCCCTCCACGTATGAATCACGCACTCGCAGGTAGTCCCACTTCAGCAAGACTTTTCCTCCCAACCAGCCTCACCTAGTTAAAATGTTATTCTCCTCCCACTGTAAAAAGCCAACATGCGCTTTGGCAAAGACGCCCAGTTTGTTTACCCCACACTTGCTCCGAGTTTGAGCCGAGCAGCCAGACCCAGCACCAGCCCAGCCAAAACGGCAACACCTCCAGGCATGCGGAGCAATGCAGAAAACACCAGCAGCAAAACCAGTCGCTCGTGAAGCAAGGTTGGGGACGAGATGCCCGTGCTTGGGTTTCAGCACTTAACCCCACGCACGTCTCCTTGCGGACTCCTGAGGCTCCATCTGTCCCCCTCCTTGCCCACCGTGTCGTGTGACTCACGTCACGTACCCTGCACCCGTCGGACGTTAGCCCGCGGGTGAGCCAACGGGCCAGCGGCTGGCACGAGCTTCGGCTCGGGCGCCAGCTTCAGCCCTGAGCTGAAATGGCAGCACGGGTCTCTCCCAGGACCTTCAGTGCACCTGCACTAGGACAGGGCAGAGCTACCTCGTGTTTGCTGGTGCTGCTACTGAGGAGCTCAGCATACGGTTCAACCATCTGACCCGGCCACCAGCGCCCAGGCCCATGCTCATGCCCTCCTCTTCCTCAGTCCTGACCCAAGCCAAACGGGGCGAGGGCTGACCACCCGGCAGTGAGGGCTGCCAGCGTGACACTATAGGCACAGCCCGGTGGCAAGCCCAAATTTAGAGTGGCGTGCTTTTTCTTCACTTCTCCCCAGTTTTAACCACAAGGCTCGAGCCTTCCTTCTGAAATGCAGAACCATCCCTGATGGTCAGGATCACAGCTTGAGTATCATCCCTGCGGGAGAGCGAGCTGCTCACTCAGCATTCTCTCCTTTAACTCGATATAAAGAAATACCTGCGCCTGCCAACCACTTGCCTGCCTCAACATTTTACATTGGCTGATATCCTGTCTACATATTTTTAAACATTTCTTTAATTTTATCCAGTTTGGACACATGCCACCAAGGCAACAAACTGATGCATGCAGCCGTCTACACTGCATGAAACAAGGTAACATTAGTTTGGCAGCTTAGAAAAACTGATGCAACCTTAATTATAAGCACAATAATTTCAGGGGCGAGGGAGTGCCCTCATGGGAAAAAAAAAAAGCTACAGGCTATTTTTTAAGTTCCACACAAAAATGATATCCAAGTTCATTTGCACTTTTGATAATCTAAAAAAAACTAGTAAGAGTTGCGATTTCAAGTTATGCACAGAAGGAGGAAAGTAAACAGATATACAAATTACGGTATTATTTCCTTGGCACAGATTCAAAAGGGCTCTAAAAATTGAAATTTGGCAGACAAGTATTTTCTATTTATAGTCAAAGCAGAGGCAACCGCTACAGCTCAGGCTAAGACTCAACTCCCAGTATAAAGCCTCCTCTTACAGTTTCTCACAGCAAACTCTTTCAAGCAAATTCCTTTGGGGGAAAACTTTTTCCAGAGCTTGGTGTCATCTGCCCCTAACCCTAACCCTTTTTTTCAAAGAAAAATTTCCACGGCTTTTGTTCCATCCGTTTATGGGCAAAACCACACTTCGTCTTCTGATAAAGCACTTTTGTGCACAAAACAGTAAACCGATTCTGTTGACACTTAATTTAGCTCCCAATAAGGGAAAATGGGTCAGTCGTTTTGAAGTTACGAGCAATGTTTTTTTCACTTTTGTTTTGTTTCAGGGATACCGTCCAGTGAAGACTTATGAATCCAGTCTACAGCTAAGGGAAAAAAAGACTCCTGTTGCAGCTAGCTGCTCGGTTTTAATGTTTAATTGAAATCTGTGGCAGTGAGGTGTGACAAAGCACGTAAAAGAACAAGGTCTTCTGGAGTCCAACTCACAAATGCTTCAGGAGTCCAAGTTCAAAGTCCAAGAGGGACCTCTAAGCAGAGGCCATTTAGGAACAGCCACAGCGTCCTCCTACATACACACAACCAGCACCTAGCTCCAGCAAGCAGGCAGCATAAAGCAGAGGTATCTTGTGCTGGACCTCTATACAGAAGGGCAAACAAATTATAACTTCAGAGACAATTGGTTTTTTAAGGACTGAATGTGAAATTTAGGCTGAGCAGTCAGCCTTTAGGTTACCTGTTGTGAGAGGTCTTTTTACAGTACTTAAAATATTTTATTAATGGATTAAAAAAAGTACTATGCTGAATATTGGCATATTGTTAGCAGAAATACATGAAAAAAAACTTTATTGCCTGATAAGCTGGTGGTGGTTATTAAATTCCCCTGATTTTTCCCAAATTAACAATATAATTAAAACTCTAAGTAACAACTTAACATGATATGTACTTAATCTTAACTATCGTATCGATTACAAATATTCCAGTCATAGATCAGCTGATCTGACAACTCCAACATTTGCAATCTCTGGAAAAGTAAGGGATTTACTTTTGTATCTTAGTGAGGTACCTAAATATTGCAGTATATCCCCACTGTTTTAACTTAACGTTCACCAGTGCTGCCTCCCACTTTAAACCTGTGCGCTGCTCATAGGAGAGAAGTTCAGAATTCACACTGATGTGGCAAACCATCACTATTTTTTATACTACAAATTTAACAGTCTACTGCATCATTCTTCTCATTTTTTTCGAAGCCATACAATGTTTACGCAAGAACTGCTTACGGAAGTATGTTCACATATCCCAAAAGTGATACTTAATACAGAACATGCATCAGAAATAGTTATTAAATGCTCCTTACACGACATTAAAAAACGTTTTCCAGTATCCACCAGTATGTAAACAGAGAAGCATGATCGCCTTATATGTAATCATTGTACATATATATAATTTTCCATGTACTTGCAGCAATATAAAAAAGGTATTTTTAAAGCCTATATGAATGAGTATCTCATTACTAAAGGTAAGGACAAAATTAGAGGGGATCCAGTTACTGTTGTTTTACAGCTGACAACTTATCACCTGAGCTGTGCTAAATTAGTCTGCCTGTGTTCCCAGCCCAATGCAACTGTAAAGAGAAATATTCTCACTTAAACAACTTCCACAGTGTACTACATTAATGCATTTA